CCCCGTCACCAAACCGTGATATCATGGAAATACTGGTTCTAAAGGTGGACTTGCACAACACTCACTGGTTCACCCCAAGAACACATGCACCACAGAAAAATATAGGTTTTATTAAATATACTTATTTATAATTCATCCAGATAAAAACATATCGTGTAAATCGTTTTTAGCAAAAAAGTGCATTCAGTCACAGGCAACAACACAGGTAATGTACGTTTACAACACAGGTAATGTACGTTTACAACACAGTTTACAACACAGGTAATGTACGTTTACAACACAGGTAATGTACGTTTACAACACAGGTAATGTACGTTTAGGTCTCTCATCCTTTCATGGAATATTACATTGCTTTGAACATTGTCTTTGCAATATCATCATGTTTATGCTTATGTCTCATGATCCTAACCGAAATACCTTTTACCAAACAATACCAAATTTCTTTACCCTCACCTTCAAACGTATACCGAGTAACAGTTGGAAAACAAATTGAATGAATATGCATATTTATTCAGAATTTTCTCTGAGCCCCACAATATTCCAACTCATTACTCAGTCCAAAGAGCGCAATGCGTGGCAGAATGCAGTACCAGAAGATATCATTTGACTGGCTTGTTATCTAAATGATGACTCGTATATCAATATAATTGTAGTCGAGTACAGATGAATCTTTAATGCATCACGTCACATGCAACGTTTAATATGTTAAACGTACCATCAGCAGAAGGAGAAATTACCAATATTGGAAGAAAACTGACCAGCGTGTGGGTTAAAAGTTCTTAAATCCAAACAGTAATTGTCCTCATACATATTTATGGGCAAATATTGAGGAAATGATAGACTCTGCTGGGGCAATAGTAATAAAACGAGAGAAATAGGTATACTGTATGAGGGTTTTACTTACGTTTAAGTCCGTCTAGACGTTTGATGTTTTTCATTTGTGAAAGGTGAGGGTTAATGATCATGTCTTGCCGAGGGCTCTGAACATCATTTCTCTGAACTCTACCCTTGGAACTGAGTCAGAAATATTTGCAAATAAATTTAAAGTAATGAGTCTATGGCTCTAAGACAAATGTGAGTTTATAAGAAAATGCCCTTTCATTGAAAAAATAGAATATCACCCTGAACTTGTAAGATGATTCTTTGGTTTTGTTTAAAAGATTTGATCTAGATGCATTTTGAAAAAAATGAAATCAGTATGGTCGGTTTCAGAGATATTTCATGATATATACAGTTACAGGGTGGAGTAAATATAATGTTCCTATCCTTAATATCCCTCTCTGGCTATATAGATGCAATATCCCGATCTGGAAGGACTGTGTATCTTTCACGTTGGTTGTGGGTTAGGGATATCACTGTGTGTCTTTCACGTTGGTTGTGGGTTAGGGATATCACTGTGTATCTTTCACGTTGGTTGTGGGTTAGGGATATCACTGTGTATCTTTCACGTTGGTTGTGGGTTAGGGATATCACTGTGTATCTTTCACGTTGGTTGTGGGTTAGGGATATCACTGTTTATCACTTAATACAGCGGTATTTTCCCTGAGATGGGCTTTTTTGCCACCCTGATATGGGCAGGATTGGCATGGTCATATCTGGCCCCGGGCAAGATATCGTTATCTTGCCTGCTGAGAGGAGGGAAAATATTGATATCTTCCCCGTCAATTTTGTACACGACATCACGGAACGTTAATGAATCGAATGATGTCACATCAAGAATGATGTCATAGAGATGACGTCATGTTAGATCATACTTTGATCATGGCCGGGGAAAGGACGAAGGAAATATGGAAATCGAAACCAAGCAGTATGTTCCTGTTACTGTTTCTTCTGTTTTTCTATGTTTTCTGAGTTTATTAAATTCATTGAACGGAATATTTATCTTTGTTGTTGTGTCAGTTATTTTTTAATAAACAACGTGTATTTGGACAAAGAGATAAAACAAAAACAAACAAAAAACATGTAACTCAAAAAATCTTAATCTAGGCAGGTATTAATTGATAAAAAGATTATTACACTTCATTTTTCATATCTTGCCCGATATCATCCCGAGACAACCATATCGGACCGAGGCCTGCCTATGGGTCTGGCAAGATATGAAATATGAAGTGTAATAATCTCTACGTATCTTTCACGTTGGTTGTGGGTAAGGGATGTATCTTTCACGTTGGTTGTGGGTTAGGGATGTATCTTTCACGTTGGTTGTGGGTTAGGGATGTATCTTTCACGTTGGTTGTGGGTTAGGGATGTATCTTTCACGTTGGTTGTTGGTTAGGGATGTATCTTTCACGTTGGTTGTTGGTTAGGGGTGTATCTTTCACGTTTGTTGTGGGTTAGGGATGTATCTTTCACGTTGGTTGTGGGTTAGGGATATCACTGTATATCTTCCACGTTGGTTGAGGGGGAGTCTTTACATGGTTTGGGGAATCCGGTCTAAGCATGTAATCGTTGGCAGCGGTTTGGGGATAAACGTGTCTATAAGTGTATATTTTTCATACCATGGCTTGGTTCTTCTTCAATGAGAATCAAACTCTGGCATAAAGAGATTGGAAGGCAGGCACCTTGAATTCTATAAGCTTGCTATTAAAGTCTGCCAATGAAAATGAACCAATAGTTCTGTGTATGAACTTTTTGAGACTGTCAGCAAACTTGAGTGAAATGAGACTACTTTAACACGTGATTTTTGGCATATGAACCTAACGATTTTACTAAGCACTTAACAAGCTGTCCGGAACAAATGAAGTGAAAGAGCTAAAGCCATACCCCATCACGCAAGCTGGTACAATAAAAATGACACCCGTGAACGTTTCCACGTTATAAACCCCAAGAATTAAGTGGTCTCTTTCTGAAAGCTTCTCTAAGGTTACCGTTAGGGCTATGTGTCGGCAGAGGAAGGAACTCGGGAAGAAATATTTTCCTGGAGGGCTATTTGGCTCGCGTGACAGTGCCTTTTTCTGCTTGGCTCAAGTGGTCCCGGCGGCAAGTTTCGCGTGCCAGGGAAATTGATAGAGTTTGAGTTTTTTTCATTTTGGAAATTTGTTCAGCGCGGAACCCGCACTTAGTGTTGGACCCTTGAAACTAAAGATCAAACCAAGCGAACTGGTGGTGTTTAAAATGCAGTCTGTTTGAATTATATAAATTGTTCTACATGTTAGGTTCTAAATTCTGGCATATTGGTAGGAGTTTTCGATTTAATGCATTTTTCTTAATGTCAGTATCGTGTGTCTGTTGGTGCTTTAACATATTTTCACGTTGAATACGAATGTGATCTCATATTCTGAGGATGTTAAGACTTAAATTTAGAACATTTTATGGAAACCATAGGAAATCAGGGAAGGGCAAGCGATCACACAACATTCTGGGAAAGAAAGTCATTTATCAAAACTAGAGCACTACTGATTCTAAACCATATTTCCTTGAGACGAGCATGATATTTTGTCACGAACTTTCTCGAAGTTTCATTAAGTTACTGGGAATTTGTTTCGCCTTTGTTAACCGATGTGGTTGAAGTTGTAGGTGGTACCTTCGTGTGTGTGTGTGTGTGTGTGTGTGTGTGTGTTTGTGTGTCTGTCCGTTTGTCTTTATGTCTGTGTGTGTGTCTGTGTCTGTCCGTTTGTCTTTATGTCTGTGTGTGTCTGTATGTGTGTGTGTCTGTGTTTATCTGTCTGTCTGTGTCTGTCCGTTTGTCTTTATGTCTGTGTGTCTGTCTGTGTCTATGTGTGTGTATGTGTGTGTCTGTCTGTCTGTCTGTGTCTGTCCGTTTGTCTTTATGTATGTGTGTTGTGTCTGTATGCACCAGTGTATCCACCATCAACCACTCTCTACCGTTAGGAGTACCGTTATTCATACAGTCAGAGTCTGGCTGATCATACCAACTGTTTATGGCTGATAGCCGCTCTCATCCATCATGATTCACGTGCTTGGTCATTAGGTGAATTATCGCTCACGCAACCTTCTTGAATATTAATAATATGCTTTGTTCTACAAATATAACCGGTGTTTATTGGGATATTACAATATCAATAAATGTCACAAGCTTCTCATCGCGGTTCAGAATAGGAAATTAAGGTCAATAATTATACATTTTCTTCCTGCTTGGCAATTGTCACTTATTATCAAGATTTATAACCCTTTTGGTATCGCTGAAGAAAATATTGATTGGTCAAAGTGTATAAAGTGGTTATTTGAAATTGCGTAAATTTAATAAATATGCTAATAATTTCGCTGTTGTTTTTAATGTAATTTGTGATTATACGCATTAAGAAAACTCAGTCATAATTCAAACAAGGGTTTGATTTTTTGTCGTAATATTTATTCAAACTGCCATACCGTTAAGCCGATGTTATCCTTGGTTAAACTCTTTTCTTAAAGGCATTTTGAATGCAAGTTGAAAAGTTTAATGCCTTTAGAGTATTATTCGGAATTTTAACGAGCATTTTAGTCAAGCCCGTCATCATCATCATCACCATCATCATCATCACCATCATCATTACCACCACCATTTATGAAAACTTCCAACGCAGTTCGTCCGACACAATATTGCATGCATGCGTCAGAGACTAAGTCATGAGACAACAAGTTGTGACGTAGTAACGTCTTCACCAGTCTACACTCTAAACCCGTGAAAATCCGGGTTTTCAGCAACCCATGTTTGTCGTAAGAGCCGACAAACGGGATCGGGTGGTCAGCCTTGCTATATACTGTGTCGTACTGAGATTTCCTTTCATGTAACTTCCATAGTAGTTTAACACTACAGTAAGTTGATCGTTTTCCCCTACACATTTTACCTGCTGTTGTATTGTCAGTTATGGCGAGTCATGTATGAAGAAGAACAACAACAGTGTGTCTATATGTGCTGCTGTTGCTGCTACTGCTCATTTTGATGGTATGTCTCACTAAGTCGTACAGGGCATTTGCTCAAACCACAATTTAAGGCGTGACTCACATTGTGAGTTCGAAACCTAGACTCACTCCGATTTGGATTCAGTGTGAATCAACACAAGACCATGATGCTCAAACGAACGTCGGTGGTTTTACTAACATACGGCTTTTGGGAGCAACTGCGACTAGAGTCAGCAAACTAGTTCTTTAAGTTTGACAAACCACTAGCAAGAAATAGAATCTGACTTTCTTCTCACAAACATGTGGCCAACGTTTCATTGTTTTCAAACTCGAGTTTGCAGCGTGAATGGTTGTCAACCCATCAGATTATACGTACATTACATGATATTTACCTCCGTCCGCCACAAATGGCGTTTGTGTTTTAGAAAGTGAAGAGGAACGAAGTAGCAACATACATTTGTTGTGTTAGGCCACCCTGAAACTTCAATAGCTTCATAAAATACAGGGCACCAAGTTGTGGCACAGTTGTCCTAATACGAAACGAGAACAGGTGAAAAGGTCATATACACATTTAATATTTATCTAAAACTGGTTAAACGTATCGAAAATACAATAATAAATATAACACGAAAATATTCAACTCGCTAAATCTAAATTCTGGCGTAATAAAATGACATCGGTTCGTTTTATCTATATCCTTAACGACACGATTTATGATTATGATTCCATATGTGCAAGTAGTTGCATATTGTTAAGAGTAGTATATATTTCTTATGGTATACGTGTTACTAAAATATTCCATTGTCAAGTTCACATTGCGTTGTGTATGTCTGCCTAAGCACCTAATCTCTCAAATGAAAGTTTCTGAACAAACGCGATGGACCCAAATCAGCTATTCATCCATTACTCTCTAGTGCGCCGGAAACATCCAACGAGGTCTGTCAGTCAATCTGCGCCAGCTTTACCCCATGACTGGACCTTGAGTCTGGACTTGGTGATGTCACTGTACTCGGACAGTTCGTCAGTGTACTGCGCATGTCCTCAGTGTCAGGAGTTCCGCTCCGACTTCTCTGACGTTTATGCAAACTGATTATTTTCTTCAGACGATTGTGTGGCCCCTGTTTGGGTAAGCCCACCGCTGGTTTAGTGATGACCTTGTTGTAGGTTGAGATCACGCCTCCTTTCTGTTTGGCAGAATATCTGATTGAGGCCACCTGCCTGCGTTTGTTGATTTCTTCAATGACCTCTGGAGGGTGAACAAGGTCGAAGGGACTCAAATCAACAAATGGAATGGAGTGATACACGGCAATCTGAAATGAAGAGAAACGCGTCAGTTTAAATAAAGTGCAATCGAACACACTTTGAAATCAGAGACCATATAATATTATATGGTCTCTGTTGAAATGAACTTTGGAAACTCCCCCATGGCCTTGTTTGTGTTTTGTATAATATTGTACCGCTAGTGGGTGGTTGGGGAGGTGAGACCGTGAGCGGGTGAGTATTCGGGTTTAACTGCTGTGCAGTGACATTGTCCGGCATGCAGCCTCCAATGCAATTCGTTACAGTTTATGCAATATGGCTTTTGTCTGGTGGTCCGCATAACTTAAAAATGGACAGGGGCGGATGCAGCTTTTTTTTAGAAAGGGCGGGTGCACAGTTCACTTTCACCCGTTTTCACGAGAGTTTCAATGGTTATTTAATACACTTTCGGGACCAAAATGAGGAGGTGTGCAATACACACACACACACTCAACCCCCAACCCCACGACCCACCCGCTTCTGGATCCGCCTCCGATGGACAAGCAGCAACAAGGGAATGTAGGCATTAGCCTTACCCCATTCCATCATAGTATGAATGTAAGGATCTGTAATTTCGATTGCCCATTTAAACATTGACCGTATTAACAAGCTATGAAGTAAAGCTGTTATTGAGAAGAACAGTGGTCTCCAGCGATTGGCCTTTTCTGCGCCAAGGGGTCTTGCTCTGTATTGGTTTAACATTGAGCATACAGAACAACGTGGTTTGATGTTTTCGTTTCCTATGAGTAGGCCTACTGAAATATAGTCTTTACCACATGAAAATGAACTGCAGCTGCTACTTATGAAACAGCTAAACGGTAAAGAACCTACAGTGCTCGGAGTCTCGATGAGTTTGGGCAATACTGGTGGCAGTTTGTGGCGGACCTTCCTCTTGTAAGACTTGCCCAATATGTTGCTGCCAACCATCTTCTGCTCAGCGGTATCGGGGCCACCTTTGTAGTCCCGCCTCTGCAGGTGTGGGAACTGGGTCCTCAACTGCTCCATGCCCCTCTGCCGAACTATCTTCATAGCGAGCTCCCAGTGGGGCGTTTCACCTCCGTTGAGGACCCTGAGGGTCTTAGCAGAGCCGGCTCGACGTAGCTCTTTAGGGATGTTCCTTTTGATGTTGTCGGGTATGATCGTCCTCGGTAGCTTCTTCCACCTCTCGCCGAATGTTCCAATGTATCTGCCACAGATGGTCCACAGTCTGATGGCACAATCCACACTGGCGGTAATTATCAGTTCACGGTCCTCTATGAAGTCGATGCTATTGACTGGACACACATGAGCGCGGAATGAGTTGAGCAGGCGTGGCGTCTTCACGCTCTTTTCGGGTTTGCTGCGCAGTGGTGGAGGACGTGTGTTAAATATACGCGCTTGTCTCGTAATCTGGAATAAGCTTTGTCCATAAGCACTTTCAACCCTTAGAAAAGTGAACTTTTCTTTCAATCGGTCTAAGTGTCTGGCCTCTTCTCTCTGCGACATGTTTGTGTCTGTGCAGTAGCCAATGAGGTCCCAGACTTTCACATAGCCTGATATGTCTGCAGTGAACAGATATCTGTTTTGGGCATCAGTGGCAATAGTAGAAATGCTGTCCCCTACCACATGGGATGCATAGAACTGCCCTAAAAGTCCTCCTTGGTGATGAAGAGACCAGGCTCGAACCCATCCCTCTGCACCCGCTGTTACCATAACAGCCGTCTTCTTCTCTAGAGCTTCACGTGTATTCAGAAATATTATTTTCTCAACCGCTGCCTCGTAGGCTTGACAGATATTTTCGTATTCATCCCTGCTGAACTTGCTCCTTGGTTTAAACTTCCCAGACGGGCTGTTGATCTGTTCAGTGTCCAAGGCACGGAGAAGGGGATGTTCGCACGAATGGGTTGAAGACATCTTACTTGGCGTGGTGCTCTCGTTTGACCCATCCTCTTCCTCCTTCAGTCTCCCCAGCCGTGACCCCCACCTGAGACTCTTCCTCGGACTGCTGCTACTGCTTCTCCTGGAAGAGGTCCTGCCATCAGCTGGGGTGGACATGGAGGAGGGCTGGCTGGGATGAGGAGTTTCTGACATGTCCATTTCTAGTTCCTCCTCTGCCTCCTCCGTGTTGTCCCTATTAAAGGTATCCATGATTGGTCGTACACCATGGTGAGCGTTGAGACGACTGTACATGTGCCCTGTGTCACGTGCCCAGATGACTATGTCGCCATCATAAGAACTGGTTGCTATTATGTTAGGGCTGAGGTATGCAATATTGAGGATGTCTTCTTTGTGTCGTGTCTGCCACGTCTTCCGACTCTCTTCACCACCACCATCCACGTAGATGTGAACTTTCCTATCCCACCCGGCTACGTAGATGCGGTGTTTGGAGCTTACTATCCCCGTTATAACGCTTTCGTCAGGTATTTGAAATTTCTGGAGACAGGCACCATTATTAAAGTTCCATACTTTGACACTGCCGTCCCTCGCGCCGGTAATGATACGGCGGCCTCCCGTGTCAAATGTCATAACTGTAATTTCAACAGGAATTTCGACGCCATTTTCGATTGAACTGTGAGCGTTGATGAACTGCATTATCTTTTCTCCTGAAAGCAGAAATATGCTACAGTATTATTTATTTCATCTCTCTATGTGCATGTGTGTCTCTATGAGTGTCTGTGTCTGTGTGGTAATGTGTGTACTTAAAGATTGACACAGCGAAGATGATATAATCTGTTTGATTGGCATTTTAGAAGTTGATGAATAATAACAATATGATACTTCATGGATAGGAATCTATACCGAAGCGTCTCATCATAATATTATAAAGAATTTGTTACCCATAAAGTATTATACCTTTCTTATGAAGATGGTATAATACGATACAGACAAACACCACACACCACACACACCAACCACACACCAACACCGACATCTCCAACACACCTAACAACACCTACACCTTATCATTAATTACCAGCGGACTTCAAAGAGACGTGACAGATCAACAACGAATTTGTAACAAAACACTCTTGTCAGTAAAAAGTTGGGGTGATTAGACAAGTTTCTATAGTAATACATTTAGCGACAACATTTACCAAATTGTGAAAAATGTTAATGACGCACTGGCCACACACGAAATGAAAAGGATTGTGTTTTCTTTTCCTCATTTTTTGTTATGTAATGATGGGGATGAATCATGCCGTGTTTCCTTCGTTCCATCAACTCCTGCCACGATCGCTTTCATCACGGAAACTGAATGGTAAATCTTGTGCATAAATAAAATTATTTTACTGGCGCTTCAGGACTTTCACCCGACAATAACTGATGGATGCTTATCACGTGAGTGAGCATTGCCTTGCGACAGGAGCACGAGCACTTTGAATGGGTACATTAAACCCGTGAAGATCCGGGTTAGAATTGATCTGCAGTAACCCATGCTTGTTGTAAGAGGCGACTAACGGGATCGGGTGGTCAGACTCGCTGACTTGATTGACACATGTCATCGTATCCCAGTTGTGTAGATCGATGCTCATGCTGTTGATCACTGGATTGTCTGGTCAAGACTCGATTATTTACAGACCGCCGCTGTATCGCTGAGTGCAGCGTAAAGCTAAACTCACTCGCTGGTACGCACGCGGGGAACCAGTCCACTGTCGGCGAACTACTGGACTACGTCACAGTTTGACAAAGCGAACAAACTGTGTTAAAAGAAATTGCAATAATTCGATAACGATAATCAGGAGAAATTGGTGTGAAGCTATCATTGTTGCATGTGATTCCTTCTTTCGTTTCTGTTCACCAACAAGGTATAACGACAAGATAAGTTGTGTCGTATCTATACAAGAGACGTTATTGAGTTTTTGAAACAATACCATGGAACTGGATTCTGAACTTTATACTCTTACGTCAGATACTTTCAGAGTGGACCACGTATTTTGCATGCAGTCAGATCAATTATCTATCTACATTGATCAGTATCATGTAGAAGCATGAAAGTCCTTATTCAAAGCGTGTCTGTATTCTTGATAGAAGTCTTTTCTTCTCAAGGAAGTAATTCAATCGATTTATGATTGATCTTTATGTGGATCAGATATTTACACCACCATTTCCCAGACAGACAGACAGACAGGTTTATTCGGTAATTTAGTCCCATGGCCCGTATTACATACATTTGGCAAAAGTCAATACATACTGAGTAAAGCTGAGTATACTTTAGTATTGATTAATGTTATATTTATTTATTCTTTATACGGCGGACTAGTGAAAGATATTTACTCAATGATCTTAAAATATGGATATTGACCGATGACAACAGTCGGATGAAGGTTTCAGTTGTCGGTGGTTGAGTCAAATGATTTGAAAAACAGTTAGATCTTAGTTTGGAATATTTTGGACATATTAATAAGATATGGAATTCATCTTCTCTGTAATCATGGCCAGCAGCATGACAAAAGAGGCAGAGACGTTCAATATACGGGGTGTTTGTATGACGGCCACATTCCACTGCGAGTCTGAAGTTACAGCACGGAAACTGGGTTATAATTTTACGTTGATTTGGTAGCAGTTCACTAGTTAAGTATGGTTCGACGCTGAGAAATGATTTAAATTGTGAATAGTAATTACATTTGGATGACGAAAATACTGATGCACGCCAGTATTCAGTGAAGCAGTCATACAATCTCAGTTTAAACATTTCCATAAATGTGGATATACAGCCTATGTCTTGAGATATCCATAAGAAACCAATATGAGAAGCCCATGTTGTTTTACCATTATCGTCCAGAGTTTTCATCATTTGATATGCCTGATAGGGGAGTCTGTTTCGTGGAAGCTGCATCAGTCTGCACTAGTACTTGACTGCTCTTGAGAAATATTGATACTGGAGGGGAGCTCTCACACACTCTCCCAGAACCATGTTGTTATTGGTAGTTTTACTGACTTTAAGAAATGACTTGCAAAATCTGGTGTGCACAGTTTCAATAATTTTACAGTAGCTTGTTCCCCATATTTCAGATCCGTAACAGGGTATTGGTGCAATCATAGAATCAGTTTTTTCCGTTTGTCACTGATGCTACTTTTACGTATGATATATCTCAGCCCGAGTGTCAGTTACAGGATTAACCGAGTCATAGAAAGTGCATCATACCATCAATGTGCACCTGCTAATCTGACTTATGTAACATTAATAATGTTTAAATGGGTTTTTGTCGTTCGTTCGTTACACACATATTTTATTTTTTACGTGTTTGAAGATGAAACATAAAAATATCTGCAACATGAACGTAGTTCCTATGATGTGAAATATTCAGTGTTGTAATTTCACATAAACAGTGTAGTGAACAAGGATTTCGTTCAATGTTCATTATAGAAAATGTTACATATTTTCGATTAAGTGCATATGCACACAATGCGTTTAAGGAAGTGTCTTGGTCACTGAATGTTATTATGTTGTTTTATGGACAAATCAAAAATGTGTTTGTCACAAACGTTTTCGATTATTCGTCGTCTTGTTTTGCAAAATAGAATCAATTTATATTGAAAAGAATGTTGTGATTACAGGATATGAAACTGTTTGATATATGTTTATAAGAATTGTTAAATACAACTTTAAACCATGTCATGCATTCCTTTGCTCAAACCTTACATCATTATTCTGAGAGTAGCTTGCATCCTTTGTTGTGAAATTATGGAGAAATTATGGAGAGCAATAGTCACATAAAAATTTTCAAGGAAATGTCAAATATTGAAAATAATTTTGCGAGTTTTGAAATATTCTTTCTGATTTGAGTTGAACTGATGCCAAACAGGTGTATGTGTTGTCCAGTTAATCGTTTGTCTAACCAATACATTATTTACGTGGTAAAGCCGGTCATTTCATGTTCTGTCTACAGAGTATCAAATTCGGACTTTCGAACAGAGATTTTGAGTACTATGAACGGAACATAGGTGTGATAAATCAGTACGTCACATAAAACTGTTGTTGTTGTTGTTGTTGTAAATTCACTACATTTAGGATAAAGCTACAACTCCGTTATTACTGGTGCAACTTTAGTTAATATACACCTAGCATAATGAATTTACATGTTTGATAGGGCTACATGCCTGTCTAATTGTACAGCTGTGGGTAGATCTAGCTCAACGTTCACTCTTATAAAAATTAGAAAAAAAATGCGATATCCAGATGGTTAACGCCCATTTCGGTATTACAATGTGAAGTCAGCCTCTAAATTACTCGAGTCGAGATAAAACAAACCAATTATTTATACCATTTATGACCATCATCCTTTGCTGTCAACCATGATCATGAGCATCATGAAGTGCGATCAACCAATTCACCAAGCCTGACAACCGGGTCCAATTAATTGCTTCATAGAACAAGCACAGACTAACTTGGAATCAAGGCAGGATTGTCACTTTTATGTAAGACGGAGTTTTACCATACCCACCATTGTCGATATTCCATATGCTGACCACAGACTCCTCACAGGCGCTGACCATTACGTTGAAGGTAGGGTTGTACAGTGCTTTCACCACCGGTTTAGTGTGGGATATAACCTCTGCAATCTTCTCGTCCTCGTCCTTGTGTTCCAGCAGAGCTAACTCATTGGTCGCAAGAATTAGATGCTGCAACTTCCGGTTGAAGGTGAGGGCAGAGATCGGGAACGGCCCCAACTTGACCATACGACCACTGATATGCTGAAGACAAATATGGTCCTTCAGGTCGTAGATTCTGATTGTTTTACCCTTATCGATACTGATCAGCATGTTTTTTCTCCCATTTAAGACTGTGTGAATGACTGGTTTGAGATGTCCCTTGAGTATGACTATCGCCCTGTTGGCGACATACGGGTTAAAAAGGCGAATATTATAATCCATGCCTCCTGTTGCGATGATATTATGCGTAGGACAGTAGTCAAAGCAGAGGACACCTTTCATCACTTTAAAATAGGCTGGCGATTTCTTCTTGACGAAGTCTCCCATAAAGAGGGCCGTGTTGGAACACTGACAACATGACAGGACGCAGCTGAGCTCTGGCACATACTGGATCTTACACACCCAATCATCGTGAACATTGCTTAGCTTGTATGCTTTCACGTTTGGCACATACCCTCTGAGCAGCTCGGCAAAACTGACTTTCTTGACCGTGTCTTTCTTCTGGTCCTGAGAACCGAACATTGCACCTCCTCTCTGAATTTCAAAGTTGACCGAATAAAGATTGCCAGCCGTATCACCCCATATCAGAACAGTGTGTTTCCTATCCTTTAGGTCCGCCCGGCAATCTAAACACGTCACACAATCTTCCAGCCCCGTGATCATATACCGCTTCACCAGCTTCTTAGTCGACATTTCAAAGAAGGTAATATCCCTGTCTGTGGAGGCGACAGCGAGCATGTTGTTGTTATAGAGACACGCCATGTCGACATACCACGGCTGTGTTTTACGGTCAGAAGGGCTGAATGCTGGGATTGACCGTACATGGTTCATCTGAATAGTCCAGAAGCTCAACACCCCGTCTCTACTGAGGGTAGCATACTTGCCATTAGTAAGGTCGACCTTGGTGCTTCTCTTAGTGAGGTGGGGGTAGAAGGAGATCCGGACTATAATTTCGTGGTGCCTTGTGTGAATCTGCTTCATATCGTTTGGAAAAGGCTTTTCTCTCAGCATCTGCATCATCTGGTTCTTCTCCTTGTATTCTAGGAGGTTGTAGGTGAGGTACTCCTCCCAGTCTATGGTGCCATCACAGTTGGCGTCCATCTTCATGAACATCATATCAAGGTCGAAGTCGCTGAGGTCTTGGTGCAAGGTCTGCCGAATTGCGACCTTGAACTCATCCAGAGTCAAACCCGGCAAACCCTCCAGACTGGCCTTTGTGAATATCATCTGGGAAATTGAGAGAACTACCAATAAGCCATCGTTTAACCTATACATTGTCTGCTATAATGAATTTATTCTTGTCTCATTCTTACCAGTTTACATATTATCGTTAAGGTATGTTAAATACGGCCCAAAGGTGTACGTGTGATATGTCCTGTCAGTTATTTTATAACATTGGAATTAAAACTTACTGACCCTTACGGAGTTCAGGATTTAATGGCTTAAAAAGTATACTTATTCCGTTTTAAAAAATGCCCTACCTGCAATCTGTTGAGTTTAACATTGTCTGCGGCTTCGTGTAGGTTAATATCTCCAGCAGCTTTAGTTTTCCTGCGATTACCTAGGTAGTTACAAGATGGGGAGTCAATAGTGTCCTCAGTCGTTCCTCGAGGCCTCATCCCTCCCCTTCGTCCACCGGGATCGACTTTGGGTCTTGATGTCGACATTGCTGCTGTTGGCGCAATGGACAGGCGGCGCATTTTGACAGTTTCCTTAAAAGATGTTTCGACTTAGATTTGTTTCATTGTGTACAGTTTAACACCGTAAGTGTCATATAACATAGACGCATTCCCTGATGCCTGCACGGTAACACGCTCACATAGTCCGCCATGGTGGGCTGGCGACCAATATTTGGTTGTTTTTTCGTCATGGTAACATTGGAATCTCCACGACGTCATAACAATTGTGACGTACTTTCCCGAAACGTTCCTTTGATGCATATGTGACGCGGGGGTCCTTATGACGTCATGTCTGTCTGTCTGTCTGTAATCTCGGTTACTTTCGTCAACAATATTCAGGCTTTCCGATATATGACAATGACAAAGACAATACTTTATTACCCGTGAGGGAATTCTTGTGTAAATTACAGAGCTCAAACATTAATTAAATGATTAAATTATTTTCATACAATAAATAACACACATATAACACGCCAACAAGGTAAGACAAACACTAGGAATCCGCCGGGATTATTGCGTAAAACTAAAGTCACTCACTCACTCATCTACATACATAATATTGAGTATCGTTAATAATTAGTTTACTACATTTTCAATATGAGAAACAAAACGCCAATTATTTATTAATTGGGTTATTTTAGTCTCTGAATAGTGTAAACCAGATGTTTACAGAAAATTGTTCTTAAATATTTAAAGAACAACACAAAATCTTTGGAATAAACTGTTTTTTCTAAAGAAGAATTTATGGCATATTTTGCAAAACCATTGTACATGTTATAAAAATGCGTTCAGAGAAATATTTCTAAAACGTTTCTAGAACTTGAATAAAACATTTTTAAAAGACTTTCCGGAACATTTTGCGAAATGCTTTTGGGGTGTGTGACATTTTCGTGTTAGAAAGGACGAGGAAGGCGGTAAACATGAGTTGCTTCCCTTGAAGAGTTCTCTCAGTGGAAAACATTGTCAACGTGTGTATAGTTATTCCATATCAAGGAAGGTTATTCCACATCTAGGAAAGAAACGTTTTAGTTTCAGAATATAAGAACTTACATGATGCGATGAGCGACACATACGTAAAGGTGGCACCTGAACTTTGGGATCAAATCAGAAGTCATTGCAGTAAATATTGTATGTAAAGACATTTATCGTCTGCTATATTCAGTTACCTCCCTTTACTAACGGGACACGGTTTCACAACACAATGTTAATATCTATTAAGACGTATCCTTTTACAAGTCAATGCGGACGTTGAACTATTCAAAGGTGAGGTAAATAACTCTTACTTGTAATCGGCATTCCAAGACCACTACATTATAAAGTAATATATAATTAATCAAGAACTACGAACATATACCTTTATGGACTAATATGGATGACAACGTACGGATCGTTGCATAATTTGCGATTTGGCTACCTTTCGATGTAGAGTGATTCCAACACCGTCATCAAGCTGAGGTGTTTCCATCCTCCAAGTGGTGAGAGGTATATAAACATACACATCCACTTGTCACGCCCAAAATATGGCAAACTAATTTGCTGATTTGCTGTTTGCTTTGGCTGTTCAAGTATTATGTTCTTTGATATAAGTACATACTTTCCATACGTTTTCACCAATGTAAAGTTACCATCAATCTGTGTGATGTATCTGTTGTTGTTATGCACATGTTGTTGTTAATGGTAATCTGCTGCTTATCACAACATTTGATATGTACCTTTCATCACTTGGCGTAGTCACTCCAGCTAGATAACACAAAGAATCTTCATCTAAACATTGCTAAATTCAATGAAGTTCTTATCCATAAAGATATAGATGTTTTTGTATATACTCACCAAATTCAAGACTGCCAGTGAAACAGTTAAAGGTCACATACAACCAAAAAATCAAACATAATTAAAACACAGTTATCACTTATTCATGACATATAATATACATTGCTGGTTATGAAAAAACATATAAACAAAATTATAAGCGTACAATCGCAAATCAAAAGGGCAATATTGCGTACTTGGGTTTACTTCCCAAGAAACGAAGCAGCCGGGATACCGAACCCAGTCAGAGCAGGTGGGTGTGCACTCAAGTGTAACGTCTGGTTCATTTGCAGATGCCCTCACGGTTCATTGTGTGTGTATATATAGAGATGTTGGGTTTTGTAAATACATGCTCATTTTTTGTGTATAACATTTTGCAATCAACAGACATCATAACATGTCATGTGTACAAGTATCACACCTGCCTGCCTGTGTAATTACATAATGTGACAGAGACCCATGTCAAAATGGCAAACGCTATGGTGCGCGTTACATTGATTGACAACAGTCATGGAGGTCAAAATCTTTACCACAATGGATTCAAGTACAGAGTCAACAGACGCAGAGCTCAAAAAACATACTGGAGATGTACAGATGCAACCTGTCCATATATAAAGGAGTTTTGGCAAGAAGAAATAACTGGACTCATCTTTTATATATTTATTACTTATACACCTGCAGAATTCACTTATTTATATAAAACACACACACAAATATATTGTGTGAGCTTTATGAAATATATATACAAATATGTTATATTGTGTGACATATGATACATGCATGTTGTTATATTGACTGAATAACTATATTGTCTACTATATATATCTCACTCTGTTTTAATTGGTTTGTTAATTTCGATGACACTGGGAGTGAAGTCACTCATGTAGAACATCACCACCCTTTTCCCGGACTGTCGACAAGTAATTTGGACGGTTTATTTCTTGTTGTCGACAGTCCGGGCATAAACCGTGTCAATAAAACAGACATTGAGTTTTGTCTGTGACAACGACATATCTATATCACAGTTAGAAATTCTGTCACGCTAAATAATGACATTGCTTTCAAGTATCGAACTGAGAAAGTGACTCAGTAAGAAGAACGTGTGGTGAAATAGACAAATGAAATTATATAAACAGTTAATCTACTGTCATAATATAAAAAGCTCGCGCCTGTGAAATATCAACAAAACATTAGAAAAATAGCTCACACCAAAGCCTTCACCGAGTATTCACCGGACAACCCGCTTCCAAGCTGCGAGAACCTATTTCACTGCGCCCGTGCTATGAGCGCAGCCCAGCTGTTGAAACCACTTGAATTCCCCCAAGCGCTTGGGGAAAATTAGTGAATCGTTTGAACTACGATTTCGGGTGTGTTTTTTCATCGCGTTATTTTTCGACTTTATAAGTTGAATTTGCATTTTTGATGATTTGTTTCGATAAGTCCATACGGAAAGGTATCAGAATCTGCAAAGTTGTGTTTTACGTTGCATGTTACCTTTAAGAACTATGTAAGTACAGGTTTGCATGTTTGGGAATGCTTTCTGAAAACTGTTCTCTTTAAAATATGCAGGAAATATGTCTGGACAGACAGAAGAACAGACTGATGAAATAGAAGCTTTGAAGTCTATCTATGGAGACGATTTTACAGGTATGTCATTGAATAAATATTTGCAACTGGTGTTTACATTTACAGACACAAATGTAAGATACAGAGCTTGTTAGGCTTCTTTAGTTAGTGTCCCCTATATTTCAGTATATTTCTAATGGTGGTTTTGTTGGTAGTACAGTAGTTACATAGAACAGAAAAGCTCATTCTGATTTGTCTTATATTTGTTACCTTGATTAATAGGGCTGTGTATTGGCAAAGAAATTGTATTGCATTATACTGCGATTCAGGTACCCATACTGTAGGGGTGAAAGGATATACCGCGGTATATTTGGCCTTCGGTTCGGTATACCGAAATGCAATCCAAAAATTCGGTATTTTCAGTTTTCGGACCATCATGTTATTAACCTTTTTAATCCTTTTCTAAAATGTCTAGAAATCGAATCATTTTGTCAAAATCTATGCATTTCTTTGTTTGACGGACGCTATTGTCTCTGAAGTAAGTTCTCATATACCGATCCGAAACGGACCAAACCATAGGCCTTGTACCGCAAAACATACTGCACCGTAGGAAGAGCATACCGTTGCACGATGCCATATTGCAATATATTTGGAGCTAAACTATTTACTATTTGACACTGATGGTATTTTCTACACAGAAACTCAGTCTGGCCCTAAAAACATGTGTATTGGTTCTGATAACGGCAATCTCAAGATTAGGTTGGATAGATATGGATTCTTTTTTAATTTTTATACAATATATAGTATGTAAAGTATAAGGCTGTTACTATTCACTCGCATATTCGGTGAATCGAACCGTAGCTGTTTATGAATTCAATTCATCATTCACCAGAACTGAATATTCATGAATATTTATGATTTTTGATGGAGAGCATGTTCTACTTGAACCTTTATATCATTTTTCAAAGTGAGATATGCAAGAATGGAATATGTACTAACCTTAGAGTAGCTCAAGTCATGTCAGTTTGCCATGGCCGCACACAGTACTGTCAACTCAGGGATTTACCTTGAGGCCTGTTTTTGAAGGTCCCTGGGACTCATACTCTTAATTTTCAGGGGTCCTGGACAACAAAATGGGGGTCCCAGACACTTAAATATTATTATTGATACTGTTATTGTCTTGTGTATTATGATCAGCACATTATTTGTTACAATAATTGAATTGCTAATGGTACCATAACCCAGCCAGTAGCAAACTCTTTGATAACTTATTGTTACTTATTTTTTACAAAAAAGTATTTGGACTTTTTCTGCATCCTTGTGGATGCGCTAATAATTTTGTTGTGTCCTTAGTCAATTTTTATGCATATAGGACACAGGAATTCACGTCCTGTAAGTCCCTGCAACTGTAACTATGACATGCATGGAGTGAGTGAGTGAGTGAGTTGGGTTTTACGCCGCTTTTAGCAATATTCCAGCAATATCACGGCGGGGGACACCAGAAATGGGCTTCACACAATGTGCCCATGTGGGGAATCGAACCCGGGCCTTCGGCGTGACGAGCGAACGCTTTAACCACTGGGCTACCCCACCGCCCGACATGCATGGACCTCATTTGACTCTCATGAGATTACTGGTCATTGTTTTTAACACTGTCAGCATGGGCATTGCATATGGTGCAGCAATATCTGGTGAACACTACAATATTGTATTCGTGAATAATTATAGGTATTCGTTACCCAGTAGTCGTATCGTATTCACCACAGCCCTAATAGAGTATGACATTTTTGTCAAATAACTATGAAGGGAAACATCAGTTGTGTATGAAAATCTGTGTAGATTTTAACTAAAACCATAGAGATGATAACAAAACTTCTTATATTGTTTTACCCAGTATACAGGATCTCGTACAAGATATTACAATGTGTATCATTCGAAAAGTGTATGTGGTATACCAGCATAACAGTATTTCTGTTTAGTTTTACTGATTAATGTCCGAAGTCTGTACTATATGCTGCATTATAGTGAAGAGTTGATGCTTTCTAAGCAGATTCTGTTCATTTATATTTACTTTTGTTATTCCTGGCCAAGTCAAGATGTGAGCTCTTCCTGATAATGAGAATTGTTTGATTAGAAATAACTTCATATATCCTATGTTTACAGTCTAAGTAAACTTAGGCTCAGTATTATTCGTTACAATGCTATACTGAGTCAAACAAAACCTAGTATAAGGTCACGTCAGCTAACCTTTGAGCGACCTATGACCATCCAATCAAACGCGAGACGGCCGAATGGATTTTACCGTCAGGCAATGACTATTTGTTTGGGCTCGGCAGGACTTACAAAACGGTTTTTGGATTTTCTCTTCCCTGGTCGCTGACACTGATCTATCAACAAACGAAAATCCGCATAAGACACAAATATTTGACCTGCAGTATATACGCTTTTGGGTTTCTAATGACATGGTTGCTATTTGCTTATATTTTTGCAAGATGACATCCTTGAATATTGACAAAAACGCTATTTTCAGCGACTGTTTACTCATTGCGTATATCACTCGGATTTGCGATCGTGCGGAAAATAGCATTCGGAATCATTCGAGTTTTTTAGGTAAAGGTTCAAACGGTATGTGTTAATGTTTACTTTCGCGATTTGGTAAGCTGTGTTCTGATTGGTCAGTCCAAAAGGTTAGCTGACGCGACCTTCTACTAGGTTTTGTTAGACTCAGTATAGCTGTGTAACGAATAATACTGAACCTAAGTTTACTTAGACTGCCTATGTTTACAGTTCCATGTCACTTTCCATGGACAATTTGATGATTTAGAGAAGGAACTACATAAGATGGATCTTTCCTCACTGGTTTTTAAAAGGCACAGGACAACAACTTGCAGAAACTGATGAATTATGGTTGCTTTTGTACATATTAACAATGATTTGATTGATGATGTCTATTAGCCTGTTCTGATATTAAGTATAGATTATTTATCATGTATGTTTTACCCCATAGCTGCATGTGTATCTGTGTTGTCATGTAACATATATGTAAGTTGGAGTGGTAGAATTCAGGATAAGTATGTTCTATTGATGTGGTTTCTTTATGAGCTATTTAATGACAGTTTAACAAGACTATCTAAATCTTTATCTACTAGATTGTTTACTCTAATATGATACCGCTTGACAAAATTAACAGAGTTGAATGAAAATTTTAATTTACTCTCCCATGCTGAGAGAAGTAAATGGTTTGAGCACTGTAACAATAAATGTTTCCCCATTCTGTTCCAGATATAACTCAGGACCCTCCATGTTTTATGGTCAGACTGACAACAGAAGTGGAACTTTCGGGTGATTAACTTGGTTACTAATACCAGTAATTATGCTCTCCAAATACTAAGATAGACATAGCATTTATTGGGGATACAAGTTGTTTTGTCAGTGACCGGGCAACATTACAAGTTCAGGGTGCCATATATCTTCCCAAGGCAAGGATATTAACTGACAGTAAAACAATCAAAATACATAAGTGCTTGCACATATGTCAAAGCTTTGTGTCATATGGGTTCCTGGTATGCTTGAGAAATTTAACAAGTACTAAGACTTGGTTGATGCTGTGCAGGGCCTTTTAACAGACTGCCAGTTTTTACCCTCTACAATACAGGGCTATCCGGGAAGAGATTGAGCAAGAGAAATGCAAAAGGTTCTGTAAAACAATTCTTAATGCTCACAAACCTAATATTTCAGTCCAGAGCATGCAATGCTCAAAATATTTTCATACCACCACTGGAAGTAAGTGTAGCTTAGTGTAACTTCTGTGAATGTCTAAATGTTTTGAAGAGTGCCCTCTGTGACAATGAGACATTAGTTGCTGGTAATCATTGATTACTAGTTAGTCTGGACATTATTTCAAGTTCGGTCTAGATGTCAAAGTTATGTTGTCCATTACTGTGTAAGGACTAAAACTCAAAGTCATCTTTTTTTAAAGACATCTTGACAGAAATATGTACAATGATATTCAATGATGTGCAGTGATGTACAACTATATACAAATATTACAATATTAATACTAACTATCAGCCCTCCGGGAAACTTCCAAATATTGTATTCCATTCCATGTAGATTACAAAATTAAATTAAAAAGTTTGCATTAAATCGACTCTCGCGCCCTGTCCCGGCCTGACATGATTTCAAGCAAATCCCATAGTGTTATGTCCCTTGGATCCCTCTTACGAATATCCTACACACAACTTGTGATTGAAACCTGTTTGGCAAACACCGACAACACCACATGTGACAGTTTTTGATGTACAGATCAATTGTTTACATTCCATGTATGGCAAGTGTTCTCTGTTTGGATGCTGATCGCCTCGAAGTTTCAATTATCGATTTCAGGCAAGTCATTGGGGATAATAAGACTTTTGCTGCATCAATAGGAAGCTAAAGTGAGTACATATGCCCCAATATATATAATATAGGCCAAAATATTGTCAAAGATGTGTGAAATTGTGCCTTTAATGTAGGTCCTGTGTGGCTGCGGATCACCTTCTCCACCCAATATCCAGATGAAGTCCCAGTGATAGAAATACCCATGAGGTCTGCAGTACTCTCCCCTAGCCAGTGTGATGGGCTTGCAAGGCACCTCATGTCAGTTGTATGTATTATTTTACAATGGATTTGGCTGCAGCGGTTTTCAAATCATGGGAAACCCAAAAGATTTTACCTCGGATAGCTAATTAATGTTAACAATTTTAACTGTTGCCTACATTTTTAGGTGATCAATAGCTATTGTTATGATGGTTATAAGAAGGGCCCTTGCCTTGCTACATTTCAAACACTGATGTGATACTGGAACCAAAGGCGTCGTCTGTTGGTAATGTTGTTTGTGTTGTTGTCATGGTTGCAGGCAGAAGACAATGTTGGGATGGGCATGGTGTTCACCCTTGTGGATGAAGCCCAACAGTGGATCACGGACAATGTTCAGCCATCCCCAGAACAGGAGCAGGATGAGGTACATCTATTACAGCTTTACCGAGGACAGGTTTATCCTGAGATACATAGTTGAGACAAATTATAAAAAGAAAGTCACTTGAAACATTCCAACTGATTGTGAGTTTTTTAGAACAGACATTGACTCACTCCCAGTAGAAAACAAATTGTTGACTCAAAAGGCATTGACTTCAGACACACACCCACCACACCTCTCCAAATATGACTTCCTTATAAAACACTGACTCTCACCCTCTAAAATGTGAGTTGGTGCAAAGTGACTCCCTCCAGAATGTGAGTTTTTGAACACAGACTCCAACCAAAATGTGAGTGTTTGAACACAGACTCCATCCAGAATGTGAGTTTTTTAACACAGACTCCGACCAAAATGTGAGTTTTTTAACAGAGACTACGACCAGAATGTGAGTTGTTGCTGTACCCACACCAAAGAACCTAATTCTAATTGAAAGAACCTCAAGCAGAAACTAATTCTTTCTCATTTATCTTTCATAATATTTTACTGGAATGTTTCAAAATGTATACAATAAAACTGAATATGATTTGTCCATTGTACAGGAGCCCAGTGAGGAAGGTGTCTCCACTACCAGTCCACAGCGCATCCTGACAGAGGCCAGGGCTGCGGGAGGACGCTGGGACTTTGTTATTGGCCTGCTGGTCAGTATTTTTCCAGTGTTAAATTGCACATAGGTAAACGATAATAGCAAGGCTGAAGGCATGTTAGCTTCTTTCTTTTTCTTTTAATACAGCACTCAGCAGTATTTGAATTACAGGAGGGTCTGTAACTATCTGTAACTGTCTAACTGATTGAATCTGGGTCAGACAATCAATTTACACAGTTTTGATACACTGACATGCATCAAGCAAGACAGCAAACCTGACAACCTGATTCTGTTAGTCAACCCTGTAATTTAAACAAAATTCCTACTAATGATATTTGTGCAGTTAAGTAATGAAATGGTACATGCAGTAATTCAATTTCAATAAATAAACACTATACATGGTGGTAGGGCGAAGTGTATTTCTTTTCTAAGATGCCAAATTTAATACTTTCTAAAGATAATTACGATTAATTTAAGGCAGAAAACAAACGACGGTGTCGGTGACCTAAATTAAGAATCCTCGCACAGGGCTAACTGGCGCGCTGTTCTATTGATGTGTCTGCCCCCTACGTTAAGACGAACGTTACCAGAAAAAAACAAATGATAACAGTTTGATGACTGTTTACGTTCGGATTAAATATCTTCTCTGAATTATTTTAATTACATTTGTTATTAACGTAAACCATATGGGGCAATATGAACGTTGCATTTCTACTACCAGCGTAAGTTTAGATCAGTACATCCAGAGGAAGTTGAGTAGTCAAGCGACATTCCACAATTGCATTGTGGGAATGTAAACATTACTTAACGCTACCGTGTCGCTGAAAACTTGTGAGTCGAAATGACACATTTTAACCATCGTAAAACATAAACGTAATGTTTCCACCAGTGATGTTAGCTGCGTGAAGCAACAGCAAACCAAGAAACTGGATGCAACGGTGTAGTTTACTCTAGGAGGCGTACGAGGCGATGACAACTGACATGCATCGTGACGTCGCTTACATTGTGACGTAATGTAAAATGGTTCGATTACGAGGGGGCACACTAGAATGGCGCAGTGACGGGATAACGTCATTCAATTGTTACTTCATCAAAAAACTATACCTTTATTGTCTGATAATGTATTTTTTTTCGATTGTTCTAACCGCTAGGCATCTTAGAATACTCTGTAACATTGTGATTTTCAGGGGAAGCCGTCTGCTGGAAAGTCCACCTTCTTTAATGCAGCTACAACCCTAGATATGGCTAAAACAGGGGCACACCCATTCACCACTATAGAACCCAACATTGGCAAGGCTTTCTACTCAACCCCCTGTCCTTGTAGAAGACTTGAGAAGATGTGTGCAGCAGGTTGCTGGCTCAGTATCTACATTAGTACTTCCATTACCAGCTGAATATCTTGGTGTAATTTGAACAAAATCTTCTTGGTGTTTGTAATGTTACTCTGTCATGGAGTATAAGTGTATGATTATACATTACGCAAATAGCTAAATAAGAACAAAACATGTGGCAATAATATATATCCATTCAACTCTTTAACTGGACTTTCTATCATGCCAAAAATCTTATACATCTGTATGTTGTTTTTTTGTAAATAAATGGCAGCTTCTGGCTTTGTTGCTGCAGCTCATGGCCACAATGTGTGTGGGAATCGCAATGTGCCTGTACTGCTGAAGGATGTGGCGGGCCTGGTGCCTGGAGCATGGGAGGGTCTGGGAAGGGGAAACAGGTAGGTCACCAATGTCACACACGGAAAATGCCATGGCAGTTGGTAGTCTACAAAGGATGCCTGATAGTTCAGGGGCTTTTAATGAAGGACTGCTCTGTATGATCACCTCCAAGGTCAACACATGCCTGCCAACAATGCTGGAGTACCCAACTTTCATTGGTGTAGGAGGCTTCCTCCACAGGGGAAATGACATCATCATTACAAAATGCTTTCCAGACAGTTCCTTGTTTCAAGTTAGGAAATTTGACAGTTCCTAATGAACCTGGGGTGATACTTGATCACAGTGTAGTAGCCAATTTTGTCCACTTTCATCAACAGTGAATACTACTCACTTTGCAGAAATATGTCTGATGGTATATGTGTATTTGTTATGGTGTTATAATGCTTATAGTTCTAGACATCTTTGTTGAATGGAGTTTGTGATTTTGTCAGCCATTGAGTCTAATCTAAGATAAGAAAAAACAATCGGTACCGTTAGAGCTGCATGTGATTAGGCCACCTTGTGATACCATGTGTGGTGACCAGACTGACTGCACTGTGCATGCTCTCCACAGGTTCCTGAATGACTTGCTGGATGCTGATGTCCTGGTCCACATCCTGGATGTTTCAGGGAAGACTGACGAGAAGGGGCGTGAGACGGAGGAGTACGACCCCAGCAGAGACGTGTTGTGGATACAGCAAGAACTACAGTGAGACTTTCCCCTAAAACAGTCCACAAATCTTCTGCCAAATAGTATCATGAATAGGAAACTAAAGATGCTGAAAGAATACAATCAGCAGGTTCTCATGTTCTTCACATGTGGCTCATGCTTTCCGATATTTATTTATTTCTCAGAATTCTTCACTATTAGTCTTACTCATGTTTTGCAATCACTCATTCAATTACTAACCCTGTGCATCTGTGTAATGAAACACTTCTGTTATAGTCAGTGGATCTATCAGAACATCATGGACAAGTGGGATGCAATTAAACGTCGACCTCAAAAGCTGGTGGACATGTTTACCGGCTACCATGCTACGAAGGCCACAATACATGATGTACTTGATAGGGCAGGGATAAGAGACAAGTAAGTTTTTTTCAGTGATACTGAATCAGGTAAAGTTCACAATGTGTAAATATCATTACAAAGTCTAACTTTTAAAGACAAAGAAGTTTCCATCAATATAGGCTGGCATTTTGGAGTACCAATTCCACTGGACTAACAAATTCATGCATATTAAAATATAAATTGTGTAATGAAATCGACATCAGTTTCATAAACGAAAGAGTTACTGCCATACAGATTTGTCAATTGCAGGATTCACAGAGCATATATATATACTGTTGACTGGGCATGGACAGATATTTTCTAAGTGTTCCAGTGATTTGATTTTTTAAATCAAGGTGCATATTTTATAACAACACAGATCTGGATTGTCTAATAGATTGTGTTGACTGGTCATTGCCATTTACTTTCAAGCAAATACAGGTGCTATAAGACATGGAATCTGATTGGTTGATAGGATGTCCTGATGTGACTATGTTCTGGTCTGATGCTTTAATTAAGCTTGTGCATGTTCATTTTGCCTGCATTGGGACTTATAATGGATATAAGTTCCTTCCATGTTGTCTTCTTGTGGGCCTCCAACAGCCTGCTTGTCTGTATGAGAAGACTGCTGGTTTAAGGAGGAGTTTATCCAGGCTATGTCATCTACCGTTGTTCCAGGGAGCTGTCCAGATTGTCGTCCTGGAACGATGACGTGTTGCATAGCATTGTGATGGAGTTCCTTGCTGTTCGCTTCCCGATGCTGGTCGTCCTCAACAAGTGTGATTCCAATACTGCCATGGACAACATACAGAGGTATGTATGTGGGAGATGGCTGATAGAGAATACCAGGTTTGTGTATAATCAAACAGGTCAGTCTCCAGGTAACGTCCAGGTTATGTGTGTGACAAACTCCAGGCATAAGTTATATCATTAGTTATGAATGTCATAATGAAGAAAATGATTTGAATTTTTTTAATAATGTGGACCAAAGTTATAATTATTAGTAACTGCCAGTTGTCTGTGGTCTGTGTTTGCCGCGATTAGGACCCCATCGTGGGGGTCGGCTTATGCACGAAACATACCATTTTGACACTGATTTTAAGGGTCAAGTTTGGGGGTCGGCTTATCTATGGGGTCGGCTTATAGACGGTAATATACGGTAATTGAGAAGGTCTAAATCCAAATAGAAGTTAATCAAGTCTCTGAATATCTTTTATGCTGGGTAATATCAGAATTGTATAAGAAAATCGTCTTGTTATTGTAAGGAATGCTTGCTTGCATTCTTCACAAAAATAATGTGTGTACAACATATTAAACTGGAAGACTAACACCATGGGCTTTACAAACTGCACATTTTCAAATATTCAAATAAGTTTGTGAGGATTAACCAATGCTTCTGTAATAATCTTTTCTCACTTACAAGTCTGTAAACCAAGAAATGATGTGTTGAAGGATAAGATGTTGTTTTAGTTGTTTTACTAGTAAAAGAATCAAGGTGTGTTTATATATTTACAGTCATCAGTATTCAGTCCCTTTCTGTTTGTTCCCTTTACATGTATTAGGAGTTTGCAATGGCAAGAGACTGTTCATGTGGTTGTATAATTATGCATTTGATCAGTTTCTTTTGAATGACAATTATAGATGCTTTTGTTGCATGCTTTAGTTGCTCCTACCTTTTTGAAACATTATCCAAACAGGAGCTGACAGAGACATACCTATTTTAATACTTTAGGGGTCCAAAAACAAGATAAGGAACTTTCCACTCTCAGTCTACTTGCTTGACATCAGGAAGGAGAATGAAACAAGTAAAACTGTATAAACACTGTCTAAGTCTTTGATACAACAAAAATAAATCTGTGTAAATTGAAAAGGAGCCCCAATGAGGTAGAAGATTCAGAACCTGACCCTGAGGAAATGTAGACGTGCTTCATTTAGGGCTTTGGGGAATAATGTGGTTCAGGGACTATGACAGACAGACAGATGAATACTGTTTTGGTGGCAGTTGGAATGTGGTACATTATTTTGTGTAATTTGTGATGTCCAATTTCAGACTGCAGTCCTCTCATCCTGGCCTGCCATGTATTCCTGTGAGTGCTCGCAGTGAGTGTCAGCTCCAGCACCTACACAAGGCAGGCGTCATCGTCTACGCTTATGGCAGCAACTCCTTCACGGTCTGCAGCTTGGACGTCTCAGAGGAGCACAGAGTCACTCTGCAGCACATCCAGGAGAATGTGTTAGATGTGTGAGTATGTGCTGTTTTAATGTCAACCCTACCAAAATCAGTAAATAAAACACTATGTCAATTAGTCACATGTATTATATATATATATTCATAGCTTTCAGTTGGGAGGAACCATGCCAATTTACACTTGTCAGAAGGGTATTTTAAGTATGTGATCTTAACTACCAGTTGTCAGACTGGCATTTTGTGGGTGCCATGATGGCTGTGTGGGGTTGAATATGATTTTGTATGGTGTCTTGATTCTGAGATTGTGGATTTGAATCCCAGATGTAACTCAAAGATCCCTCGTAGGTACTAGAATCTGCACTATACTGAGAAAGTGTAATCCCAAATATAGCATACATAACACCAAACCAGCCCTACAAACACTCACTCAACCACTAGTCAACCCCACCAAGTCAACCACCAGTCAACCCTACCATCAGATCCAGTTGGCCATGATGACACACTCAGTAAACCCTGAAGCATTATCACTGTGTTGCATCATGAACAATACATGATGTCATGTAGCAATGTTGCATATTTGTTCCATTCAATTAAGTAGAAGTACTTTTTTTCAAAAGATGTTTCAGTAGATGACACAGTGTTCTACAGTGACTTTGTGTTCGCTCACAGCTATGGCTCAACCAATGTCCAGCAAGCTCTGTGTAAGGCTGTGAGTCTCAGACAACCAACATATGCCTTCCCAGTGCAGTGTCTGGACACACTGCGTTCAATAGGTAAAGGTCATGGTGATGGGGAAGGTGTCATCCTGAGAGACTGTATATCCCTGAAGCCAGGCACAACAGTTGACCAGCTGCACACCATCATGCTGCATTATCCCATCAACCTTCTCACTGGAGACTTTGTCCGAGCAGAGGTATGTTCATCATCACCAAACCTTCAGACGATCACAATGCATCACTAGGCCATTATGTATCCATTCTCTTTCTGCAAGTTCTTTCCGCCTTCTATTATTGCAATGAGAGTCTGCATGTTTCAGACAAAGTAGACAAAAACAAGGTACGTTGAATTTGAATATTTGGCACATCAGGACAAAGTTTCCAAGTGTATCTGGTAGAGAAGTTTCCGAGATGAACGATTTCAGTTCAGAATCAGCAATTACGACCAAGGAAACTGCCTCAAAGATACAATTCAGTATTATTTCACAGAATTTTAGTTTGATCACTATGATATTCTGAATAAAAAGAACAGAACAAATAGCTTTCTTCTTATTCTAGATGACATGATTAACACTTATCCCCATTTATGTGCCTAAAGATCATACTAAAATAATGGCTCCCATGAGCTCTCTGGAAAAAACACCCCGCTTTATCATTCTCTGCAAATGTAGCGGATTTGTCAATTTGATGAAAAATGTATCATCAGAAATGCTGGTCCAAATGATGTCTAGACGCCTCCACTTTCATTTACAGATTAGAAAAATCATCTTATTTGATCAAATCAGATTTAAAGACCTGGTTTTAAAGTGATTGACCATGTACCCTTTGATGCATCTCAATCTAAACAACATGACATTGTTCTTTGTCATAAGTTTGAAATATGTATCCAAATAACTAATTGGTTGTTTTTAGATTAGGTGTGATGCTCTTATCAATAAAGTGTATGAATGGCTCAGCCAAGGAGGTTAACATACAGTAACATGATGGACCCCCAGAGTGACTTCATAACCTATCTGTCAGTTTTTCAGCCCTCTCATTGCTGAGCACGTTTTAATATAGTATTATGCTCATCTACCACAGAGTGATGAAGTAATTGCTGCTCAGTATCCGGCAGGAAGTTGAGACACATTTCTATGATCTTGATCAGTTTGGTCTAGCACAGGTTGCATGTGCTTCATACCCTGTGTCTAAAATGGTTGAAAATGGTTTTGTTCCTTTAATACATGATTGCGTAATTTGATCTTAAATGTGACATCAATGTATAGTATGACCAGAAATTATTGCGAATTTTAGGAATATGTTTAATTGGATTCCTAGTATAAACAACCATGACCAGCTATCAAGTGCTTGGTTTCATTCAAGAGAGACAACTCCGTTAATCTTTTTTCATTAGTTTGTGAAGAGTTATCCCCCTTTGTTTACTTGCTAGCAGACGGCATTATCAGTGCTCGTCAGTATGGATTATTTAGAGAAGAGGAAGTTGATTTTAGAGTATTATAACAAGGACATCAGATCAGCTAAAGTGATATCAAGTAGAACTGTCATCCCTTTGTCCACTGTTTATCGTGTTTTGAAAAATATTGCAAATGGATATGGAATTGAGCACCAGGGAGGCGCAGGTAGGCCCAGAAAATTGACTGTCGTTGACAGGAGGCGGCTTGGTATTCTTGTTTCTAAAAACAAACGAAGGAGTTTAGAAAACTTAAGGCTGGATATGATTGATAGAGGAACTGTGGCTGTCTGTAAGGAGACAATTAGAACTGAGCTGCATGCAATGCGTTGGCAGAAATAACGAGGAATTCCATCACCGATCATGAAACCTGAACAAAAGGAGCGAAAATTGAACTGGTGCTTACAGCATAGAAATTTTAACTGGGACAATGTGATTTTCTCAGATGAAAGTTCTATGTGGCTGTTTCCTAATACACTGAAATTCTGGACCAAACAAACTGAAAAACCTTTGTATCAGCGTCCAAAGTACAGTCCGAAATTTAAGGTGTGGGGTGGCATATCTGTGTTAGGGGCAACGCCCCTCTGTGTATTTGAAGGGAATATGAACAGTGAGCGCTACACAGATATTCTCGAGGGACATTTACTTCCATCTGCTCACGTATTCTATGGACATTTTTGGATTTTTAGCAGGACAACGACCCAAAACATCGTTCAAAGCATTCACAGGCCTGGTTTCGGACCCAAAATATGACACTATTAGATTGGCCAAGCTATAGCCCTGACCTAATCCAATAGAAAATGTTTGGGGACTTATGAAGTAAAGTGTCAATAAGACAAATCTGACAAATATTGCTGAAATGAAAGAAGAGATGGTCCGATATTGGGACAGCATGGACCACGACTTTCTAACTTCTTTGATCAGTAGTATGCCCCGCCGCATTGAAGCCTGCATTGCTGCCCAAATTGCTGACAAAGTACTAACTGTTCACCTGTCTTTGAATCTGGAGTTATGTTCTGCTAATATTCACATTTAATACATGAGTAATGAGTGAAAAAAATATAAAAAATTACAAACTTTAAATTCTCAATAATTTCTGGTTGTACTGTATTTTTATAGCATGCTTGTAGTTATTATAACTTGTTCTCCCCAGACAATAAACAGTGAGGGAAAGAAAAGGCCAGTGAAGAAGGATGAGAAGGTCGGGGACAGCAACCATATTATTAAGATAATGACTACAAGAAGAAGTGCACTTTCCTGATATTTGTAATATCTAATAATTCTGTATATATTCTAACTATATACCAATCTTTTTAACTCTGACATACAGTTATGTCATCAGTTTGCTGCAGACACACTGTGATATAACTGGAATACTGTCCAAAACGGCATTAAACTCACTCAACACTGCAGTTTTCCATGAATAGTTTTATTATATTTTGATAGGGAAATGGAAAACAGAAACCTACATGTATATGGGAATGATACCAAGGATGTTGTGCAGGTTGATATATGTATACTACAAGCAATAAGAAGTCGGTGACAAGGTGGCATTCTACCCTCAGAGAGGTGTCCACCCTCTTTCAGTCCTATATGTTGTTGTGTTGTTATGTTGTTAAAGTAATTACTGACAGTATATAGATATGTTTAGAGAAGGAAGGTTTTCATACATGGACAAGTCATGTGAATAAGTAAATTCATGGGTGTTCCAGGAATTAGATGTGTTAAGATAGCAGATGATGCATATGCAAATTTATAAATATTTTTAATAACTTGATCTAACATGCAATAGATTTTATACTGTTTGTTGCAATGTGAAGAATCTGTGATATCAAACATCTAACGGATATGTTGACTTTGTTTCTGAGGAAAGGGTAAAGAAATTGTACAATGTAATAAAAATATTACAAAAATGTTTCTTGAGAGTATATTGATTTCTACATTACATAATATATTCAACAATATATCATGCAGAAATATTATATCCTCATGTCATCAACCAGAGAAAAAGGTGATTAAACGGCTACTTTTGTGTTAAAAGCAAAGCATCATATGTTCACAAATGAGATAACATTATCATGCCTTTCAGAGGTATTTCAGATACCAAAGGCCTACATTACTTCATGAATAACACTAATTTAGTGATTGATAAAAGGTGAATTAAGACACCAAACGGGACATAAAAAACAATTGCATGTATCCTCTTTAACCTTATATGTAAAGTATATTTCTGCAAAGTCCATTCCAGATATATTGCATAACATGATCACAGCATTGGCTTTCACATAAACATTCCTCTTTGGTCCATGAAAGCATGAGTAAACTCTACACCATAAGAAAACATTTTCAGGGGTTGTTTGGCAGATGTTTCATATTTGTTTCGACAAATGCTTTTAAAAGGTTTTCCCAAGAAGTACCCTGATGTTTTGTTGTGTTTTAAAAAAAATTGGCTTTATTTTTAGAAATATCGAGATTTGCAACCTCTAGCGTCTTCCATGGTGTCATCGCAATTCTTCTCTGATCTAATACAGCTCTTCTTCACCTTGTACACCTTCAACTCGTATTGACAGTATAATTGCCATAGAAGCTAACCAGGTGGTACACCATGCTCAGGTGTAGTTGAGAAAGGGGAGGGGTGAACGGGACAGTGATAGATGAACCTGGTGAGAAACGTGTATAGGACAACACCTGGAATCAAATAGAGGAGACCTACATCAACAGTCGTTCATCGGTCCCATGACTTAAAAGACCTGGCAAAAATGGCTTTGCTTACAAACTTACATGTTCCAAGTGACCAAATAAATGAAGTCTCTCGGTGCTAAAAGGACGAAGGCCCAATTGTTGCATCATGATAGATGGGTGTTTTTGCAAAGAAAGAAAAGTGAAACACATGGCTGTCGGTGAATTCGTAGACCAGACCGGTTCGTAGACGTGGAAATCCCGTGGATTCCGGTGGATTCGTAGACGTTAGTAAAATGGGAAAAGTTCAACCTCAATGATGATGAAAATCGACATTATGACTTTAATGTAACCGAAAAGTGTTTGCATTTTGTGAAATAAATAAAATATATCAGGTAAGTGTGATAGGCGATGAAAACATGCTTAAAATAATAAAATATGCTTCACAGCGGTCCACGTCCGACAAATTCCGACAAATCATAGGCCGATAATATATTAAATTCAGTTGTGTAAAATTAAAAGATATGTATTAGGTAAGTATCGTCATTCAACATTCAACTACGCAGACCAGCAGAGAAGTAGCAGAAAACACTTCTTAAGAAAACACTTACATCTCCTACACACAGTATTTCGCAATCAAAACAACTCACCACTTCCTAATTTAACATTCACAACAACTCAGTGAAACCTGTTATCCACATGCACAACAACTCAGTGAAACCTGTTAATCCACCCACAACAATGAAAACAGTCGGGAAATTATGATGAGTAGACTAATTTTGTCTGATCCGCCGACAAAGTTTACCTGTACAAACACTTATGGTATATAAACCTCAAGAAACCTCAACCATGGCTCTATGCGTTGTATGTGTGAAAGAAGTGCGTCCTAGACAACATGCCATCCAGTGCGACAGCTGCGATCAGTGGCAGCATCGCCTTTGCGACACAGGGACCAACATCGCTACCTACCGCTAGATGACGAAAGGGCACCTGCAGATGAACTTCACCTGTAAGAGATGCTCACTACCCCTGCTGTCTCCACCTTCTCCGACTCTTCCTCTGTCCCCGACCCTGCCTCTCTCTCCACCATCGTCGCCGAACCCTACATCTCCTAAATCGCCCATGGACTCATCCTTCGATCTCACTGCCGCCACCATCAACGCAACAGAGGATGTATCCGAGGAGTGAGTTTTATTAATTTCATTATTATTTCATTTCAGTTGGATAATTAATCATATTAATATAATTCAATGTAAATTCTAAATTTGATATTTCATTATTTTAGTTTTATCGCTGACCCGGACCCCCAACCCTTGCCCGACGACCATCAGCTTCAGGTCGACTGGACTATTCTCCCGACCGGCAGCAAGCGTGGCAAACCACCTTTAGTTGACAACCGAGGATTTTCCTACAACATCCAGGTAATGAATAATGAAATGAGTCCTACGTATTTAATTACATTTGAACGACGTTTGTATACACATGTAACTACTAAAATGTATATACTAAAATATGTTTCTTTCTTTAACAGAAGTCAAGATCGTATGCAGTGTACTGGTGGTGCTCTGTGCGGCCAAAGGAGGGTCGGTGCACTGCCACTGTGTCACAGAGAGGGGAAGATTTCATCCGCGGAGCAGCCAACGACAGGACTTCTGACCAAGACCACCATCAACATCAATATATGTAACGTTATCATCGCCAGGGTGATCGTCCAAGCTAACCCAAAGACTTGGATTTTGAGGTATGTATGGTGTTCGCTTTCAGTATTCAGTATATTTTAAATTATGTTAAATAAATTTAACATTTTCACAAATGTTTTTCTTCTTTAGATTTGCTCCCGCTTCCTACCAAGTGACTTCCTGAGAGCCGATATGAAGACAGGCGGAGGACAGCGCCATCTCGTTCACCTCGCCATCTCGCAAGCGAGCACCAATTGAAGACGGCCAAGACATGGTATATAGACTCTACCTTCCGAGTTGTGCCACCCCCTTTTTACCAACTGCTGTCCATCCATGCTTTCCTCGTCTTCAGGTCGTCAATGAAGCAAGTTCCTCTTTTGTTCGCATTGATGTCGCGGCGCCAGACAGAGGACTACGTGGCCGAAAGTAGTTGTTAAGTAATAGCTAATCTAATTACTGAACTTGCTGTAAAGTTTGTTCATTGTCATCAATTAATGATGTAATTATCTGTTTAACAGGTCTTCAACGCGGTCAACGACCTAATGGACAACAATGGTCTACGAACCAGTCTGGGCTACGAATTCACCGCGCCTACGAACTGGTTCAGTCTACGAAATCACCGTCTCCCAAACACATTACCCTTTTGGCAACTGTAGATGAATCTCACGTGATGGGTGTTGATGTTTCTCATTCCTCTTAGTGACAAACCTCTCCTTTCTTGTTTGACTGAAGGAATAAAGACATCGCTCAACCATCTGTCCATCTACAGTCATCCCACTGAAGCTCCCTCAAATCCCTCTATGACGCTGTCGTTAAGCCGTTTGAGGGAACACCAATATTGGGGGAATATTATGCCTTTGGCACATGGCACAACTGTGATCGGTGTCGTGTCACTTGAAGTGAACTGATATACCACAGGTCCCTTTCTCCAAGAGTGGTCAGAGCGTCCGCCCGGAGAGCGGAAGGTCGCAGGTTCGATCTCATGCCGCATCATACCAAAAGACGTTAAAAGATGGTACTTATTGGTCCCACTGTAAATAAAACGTTGTCAATTTGACAATTTTAGCGTTGTCATTATTGCTTTGACAATTATAAGTTGTCAGTTTGAACATTGAGAGTTGTCAGTATGACAACCCATGTTGTTATTGTGACAACATTGCGAGTCTTATACTGATTGCTTTAAAACAAACATTCATTAGATATGATATTTAGATAGTGTTAACGATCATGTTTATAGTTTAACCACGCGTTTTACACAGGATATGTCTTGACAATAGTTTATTGTCAAAGCATTGTCATATTTTGAGTTTTCTCAAACTTTGACAATACAAGGTTGTCAAATTTGACGGATTGAGCGCATGCGCAGTTCCAATGTCCTTCACAGCGAAGGTCACAATAAATGAGTTGTAACGCGTCGGCAGCGTCAACGTGAGCAGGAAGAGTGGTTATTGTAAGTATATGCAAAACACTTTTACAATTTCCTTTCATTAGATAACTATAGAGTAAGAATACAGTGTTTCTGATTCTAGCATTGTCCATATTAACGGAAAATCATGAAGAAATGTCTCAACTGGTCAGCACACAAATTTGTGCACACATTCCGAAGAATAACTGGCCATATAGCCTTAGATATAACACAAATATCTGTCGAGTAATAACATTAAGTACTTACGTGTGCTTTAGAATGTCAAGATGTTCAGTTTAAGCGCACAGATTTTCTATTCCATTATTTTCAGGAACACGGTTTAAATTTGACAACCTTCATTGTCACATTAACAACAGATTGACAATATATTAGAGTTACCCCCCCTAGCTCAGTGATACCATTAGAGTTACGTCCCTTATGTGTAAGATATCAACATTAAATTGGTTATATATGTTTAACTTGTACAATTTAAAATAAGAACTTCCTATTCAATGATATATCTCAAATTGTAATGTATCTGTAAAGCCAATAATATCATTAATAAGAACTGGTTTTTTTGTTTCCAGATATCCTCTGTCTTATCAGAATAATGATATCATTGACGTCTTATTTCAAAGATGGACTCATTTGGCGACTGAAGTTTATTTAGAAGGTAAGAGCACGAGAGTAAGTTTCTCAGACTTTTTTTGAATAAACATGTATTCCATGAAGTCCATAACTTTTAATCTTATGTTTTGTCATGTTTTCTCTCATATTGTATAATTTGTAACAGTCACACAAAATTCAAAAGAAATAAATAAAAGTGTGGGGTTTTTTTTTTCATCTTTTCACAAAATAGTTTATGATTTCAGATCTGTGCAGAATACTCCCGACTGGGAAAGGTGTCTGAAAGAATCTATTACCTAATCAGAAATTCATAGAAAGTCCAGGATTGTGTCAAAGCTTTGATGAAAGACGTGGACACAAGAACTGATGAAACAGAAAAAAAGTGTAAGCATGGTAGTTTCCTGTTCCAGTCGCTATTGCGTAAATATAGCTATACACACCTATGAATGGTTGGTCCCTGAAAATATAATCTATAAACAACTTTTTTATTTGTTTCACGGATAATTTTATGCTCCAAGTAATTTGGA